AAAATAGAATTACGTGAAAGAAACGAAGCCTCAATCAGGGGTATTAAATAATGTTAACATTTTTCATGACATAAAATCAATTTTGTGCCTGCCAGGGCTTGAACCCGGGAACTCTCCGCGTGTTAGGCAGATGTTGTTTTTTTCCTCTTTATTAATTCTCCCTCATAGAGGAGGAGTAAACAAACATATATCAGTTATTCAACACATCTCATGACAATGTCCAAACAAACCTGGATAGTAATAAAAAATACTTAAGGTCAATTACTTAAATTAGATACACAGAAAATTAGTAATAACAAACAAACAAAAAATGTTGCTAAAATTAATAAAAATAAGATGATCTAAATTGATAAACATGAAAAATCAAATAATGTTATCATACCAAATCACGACATAGGATGTAACCCTGAACACCTTCACTTACCAAATGCCCAGAATCGCGATAAATATTATAAAAATCTGACAGTTTGTCTCGTAACCGTAAAAAATCGAAATAAATTTTAGCTTTAAATTGAACCTTAAAGATATTCACAAAATGAACACCAACACCACGTGATACTACCTTACTACGAGCAGAATAAATCACAAACTTAGCTATACACGAACACAAGCGTAACAATCTGAGGTGATTCAAACTCAAATGAGGTAAAATTCCAACCAAAGCCACCTGTTCTTTTTTATGGTCCATTAAGCAACGGCCTAGAACTATCTTCAACAAAGTAAAAACTAAATTCCACATATCTTGTATTTTGGAACATTGGAAAACAAATGAGCAATAGTTTCTCTATCCACATCACAGAAGGAACATAAGCCCGTTGGATGATGGAACATATGAACCAACTTAACATTGGTGGTCACAGCATGATGTCAAATAAGATAAGCTAAATTACAATGCTGGTAACCAACACTGATAACTTTTTCAATTTAACAAAGTCTCTCAGCACGTTACAGTTCACCACCCCTATCTTAAATAGATTCGCCATACTGGGGAAAATGGTAATATCTGTAATTTACTTTTTGTTAGTAGTTTTTCTCACACGAGGTATTCGAGCCTTACTCAGATGAGTATCAGATGATTCCAAAACTCTCTTGTTACCACTATTCGAAGGATCCACCTCCATATCAACCGCTAGCACTCTCTACGGAGGAATGCAATGAAAAAATGGCTGTCAATATTGCAATACTACATAAACTCAGCTGAAGTTTCTACTCCAACAGTCACCACAAAGATGGTATGAAGAGCCATTTCTCGAGTTATACGAACTTCCTACTTTGACCAGTGACCTTTAAATTGCGGCCAATGACCATAAATTAATTAATTACATGAAACAGCGTGGTAGGACATTAAGGGTGTATCATTGTTGTTGGGAAACGACTTGGCTGGGGGAAAAGTTGTTGCCGAACCTAAAATCACTGTTTTATCTAAGGATGACGATGTTGTTGAGGAGAATTCCGATGTGTTTCCCTCATGTGCTGTGACTCGAGCT